GTATTAAGCATTTTCACTGTTATTTCCATCAAGTCTTCCCCTTGTGAAGTCTCAGGCAGACCTCGTATCCTCAGGTTACATCTTCAATCTCTATTCTCCTGATCTTCCAGTTCGTATAGCAGATTCCTTTGTTCTTTTCTCATTCCTTCCATCTGTTTTTCTAATTTTGTTATTACTTGGGCATGTTTATCTAATATCTCCTCTGTCTCCTTCACCCTTGACAATACTTGCCCCAGGTCTTTGTGTATTTTCGCCATCTCCTGTTTCATGGATCTTTCCAGACCCTTAAACATTTCTGCTATTTCGGCTTTCGTAGGCATCTATGAGGTCTTCTCTTGCTCTTCTGGACTCTCAATAACCAACACGTATTCTATGTCTTCAACTTCTATATTTTGACTGATATTCATAGACAATCTGGAGCAATCGCCATTAGTGTTTTCCATCTCCAGTCTTTCACTTACTCCCCGTTGTCTCTCTGGGGTTTGTTTCTCTTGTGAGGGTATATATTTTTTAATTGAACTTGCTTGGGATGACTTTGGCCCTGCCCCGCTTTTCCACTTTACATTTCATAATGTTAGTGAGTTTTTTGTATTTTTTTCTCGAGACCGGGGTTACATCTACGTGAAATTTAGGGTTGTATCCCTCCAGGGGTAGTCCCTCTTAGGTATTTTCCTTTCCTTCCTTCCCCCCTGTACCGATTTCCTCTTAAGGGGTCTCCGGGGTCTTTATCCCTCTTGTGTCTCTCTTTCAGCTCCTTCTGGGCCCCCTGGGTGATCCCACCCTAATGATCTTTACACCATATGTTTTTGACTCACCATCTTCTGTCGCCCATGGTCATCTTTTCAGCTCCATGTTACTTCAACTAAGGCGGATACGGACAGCCTCTCCCAGAGACTACTACCACAGTCTCCCGATCAGAGTACACTTCTGCAATGGTGGTTATTAGGCGGGGGTCACCCTTCATGGGTGTCCTCGGGTCTTTAGGCAGTAACAAGCCTGTGATAGATGAGCCTAGATCTCCTCCTTCGTGTCAGCCCGGCCGGCGTCTCTGCCTCCCAGTACTCCTCTGTGGCAGACACGTGACTGCCTGGTGTCCTCTGAACTCCGGCAGAGTCCGCCTCCTCTCCGACCGACTGGCCCCTCACTCTCCTTCCTCCACTTCAACACCGCCACCGCTGGCCAGCCGCACAGGGGACACCAATCTCCCGCCAGGCCTCCGCAAAGGAATGATACCATGCTCGGGTAAGTTACCTCCTCCTAGGCATTTCTGGCTAGCAGGTCACTGGGAATGCCTACCGTCCGGGAGCGCTCACACTGAGCTCCCTCTCCGCGCTATGTTCAGGCTCCTCCCCCTCAAAATACCCCTTTCATTTCTATTTTAAACATAATGGGTTGTTTTCAAACATGAGGGTTTACAACCATTTTAAAGTGATATTAAACATATAATGTTAAATTGCCTTGATCACCTCTTTTCATGTATCATGCAACTGTATTTAACTTAATATAAAAAAGCTTCCTTATTTAATGATTGCTGTTTATTAAAAGCAACAAAGTGTTTTAAAGCTTATTACAAACCTATAGTTCAAGGCAAACTTTTATTATTGTTTTGCAATAACATAGTGTAGGCGAAGTTCATTTCACTTTGTTCGCACTGTAAAGATATCTAGAGAAGGTTCTGACAAATGTGTCACACCTCTCCAGCCTGTCTCTATGGTGCAGACCCGGACTAACCATAGGGTACACCGGCATTTGCCCAGGAGGGGGCAATGGGTTTACATGTCCGGGCCGCACAGTGGGATGTAAGCGGCGACCATGGCCAAACACTAACCTTCTGCTATGTAGCCATGCCTGTGTCCGCTCCCTGCTCTGCTAATAGGCAGGGTTGTCTTTACTCTCAGGACAGTAGAGTGGATGGAGGTGTGGGTCAGGGATATTCCAATCAGTGTGATATACGCCGGATCCCGGTGATCGACGCTCTGCTCTCTGTGTGACTGACGTGGAGCAGCAGATCAGAAGTGAATGGGGGCAGGGATCCAGCTCTGCCTGTGTCACTGTGTCCCTCCCTCAGGGCCCTGGGTCTGGCTCACCCCCAGCCAAGTGTATGTCCCACAGGAAGAGATCAGGCTCCTCTGCTTCCCAAATTGAGAGTACCAGCTGCCCCCTCCTTGCCAGGCTCCCAGCTCTGATCAGTACAGATGGTTCTGATCCAGTGTCCTTCCAACCGTTCCAGGCTGTCCAGGGTCCCCTCTGACACTGTTCCCTGCCCTCTACTCCCCTGACCCTGTGTGGGAGCACTCTACTGTTCCTGCACCTCCCATCTACCCTGCATCCCGCACCCCATACTGGTCTACTCTACAGAACCTTGAACCCCTCACTATACATTCTGCCCCCACCCTATAGAACATTACACCCCTCACTGTTCGCCCTTACCCCACCCTTTGCTATTTACCCTGACCTGCCCTATAAAACCATGCACTCCTCACTATTCACCTGCCCCCACGCTGTATAGCACTGCACCAATCAGTATTCCCCCTGACCCAATCTATAGAGCACTGCACCTCTGACTATTCACCCTGTCCCCACTCCATATATCAATTCACTTTTCACCCTGCCTCCACCCCATACTGATCCAGTCTGTATAACACTGCACCCCTGCCTATTTAACCTTCACCTACTCCATACTGCTCCACATTATATAACACTGCACCCCAACTATTTACCCTTCTCCAAGCCCATACCGATCCACTCTGTTTAACGTTGCACACCCTGATTATACAATGGAGCACCAATCATCCACATTTATAACTCTGCACCCATTACTATGCGCCCTTCCCCCCACCCTATGCAGCCGCTTTCCAGTACTGGTAAGGCCTAATTTGTCATACACTGTACTTCAGTATTACCCTATTAATCATTACAGTGCCCCTTTACAGTGCAGTCCCCTTTATATCACAGTGCCCCTTTACATTACAGTGTGGAGGACCTACTTCGTGAATATCCCATCATCAACAGACCCCGCAAAATATGTCTGCCCCCCCATTCTCTCCCTCCCCCCAGTCCCTGGAAAAATTGGCTCCGCAGTCTAAAATGCCCAGTCCTGTTTTTTGTTCCAGTCCAGGTCTGCTATGGTATCTATGTGCTGGGACTAACAGGGAGGTGAAACCTTCATCAATCAGCATTTTACATCCTGCCCCCACAGTGTTTAGCAATACGAAGGCATGGGACTGTCATTTACCACTGTATATACACTCATATGTGTGATTCTATAATCACACAGCTGGAGCATGCTCAGTAGATGTGGCAATGACTTGTCTACACATTCTCAGGCTGCAGCAGGGACACAGATAAGGAGGGAGAGACAGTGGATAGCAGGATCAACCAGGCTTTTTATAATCTACAGAAAATGAATGCTCTAGTGGCAAAGTGAGTATGCACACTATGTAATATAGCATGCATATAATGATATAGAGCAAGTTTTTAATGATTTGGGTTTAATGACACTTTCAAAATCCTACCTAGCTCTCCCCTTCTATGTAATGTTAGGGAGAGGGCTAGGGAGTTATTATATTTAACGTAATTAATCCTGTCTGTTCTGTGCTGGTAGATCTCATTATTAGTTGTTTGAGTGGTACATTGTTAATGCACTTTCCTTCCTCAGTTTGTCCCTCTAATTGCACTTTGAAACTGTTCAGAATATTATGCAAATTGCCTGTAAATTCCTATGTATAAATATTTCCAAAGGTAAAGACATACTGTATATTTTTTAGGTATGCTGCATGAATTAGAATACAAAGGGGTTCTCAAACTGACTGTAAAAGTAAAAAACTGGATGTGTTTGGGAATTTCTATTTTTGGGACAGCTCTGGCAAAGATTATTGCTGCCAGATCACTCTCTATTTAGATATTTACAATTGAGGCATGTGCATCAAGCAGAATTTGTCTTGAACCCAATCTTGTTGACATGGACTTGCTTAAAACTGTATCTACTATTTATGCTGAGCTACAGACCTCTGGGTTTGCAGCGCTTAAGTGTATTGCAAGCTGGAGGGGGATGATGATGAGATTTAGAGGTTATGTGGTCTACCTCTTTCCAACACTTAAGCTGGCCATACATTTAAAATCCCCTGCTTGAACATCTGAAGTTCGATCAGTGTGTGGCCTTTTCCACCTTATAGAAGTTCATTGTTTAACTGACTTTTGTCGAATGGACACGTTGGAAACTTTTCCAATGATCAGAACTAGTATCCCCATTGGAAGATTTCCCCTCTATTCCTGTTTTGGTGTCAACCAAAATTCTGGATTTTCTTTAACTTTTGATGATAATGGTAAACAGGAGAGATAGAGAGGGTAAATTTTCCTAACAGGGGCACAGCCAGCAATAAAAACCTGATAGGGAGAGGTGGTGGATTTTGTCTCCTCTAACCTCTTTTCCTATCTCCAGACCATCTTACTGGAATTGGTTACATATTGGCCCCTACCAAAGTGAATCACACTTTGATGGAATTACTGTTCTGTTATGCCCATAAAACCATCAATCTCTGATGGAAAAAAGAAAGAACAGCCCACACTTTCCTACTGGAAATCACTGGTTAATGATGCCCTGCCTCTCTATAAAGCAACGCATGAGGTTACGGGATGTCCAAAAAAGTTTAGCAAAATCTGGGCTTTTATGTTCCACAGAAAAACGTTGATCACATGAGTGCTATGGGATTGACTGTGTCCTGGGCTTTTTCGGTGGCTACTCCTTAAGTTTTAAAAATTCACTGTGTTACACAGAATAAAAAGACAAAAGGCCACATGCTCTGACATACTACCTGGTTGTTTTGCACACTGGATATTTGTTTACTTTTTTTTTGTTTGTGTTTTTAAGTTGGACACCTAGTGTAAATTGTGCACCTGAATGTTAGAATTGCAACTTTGTAAACGGCAAAACCTTAATAAAAAGAATTTACAGAAAAATATATATATAGCTTTAAAATAATATAAAGTATTTCCTTTACCAATGTATTTTGTTGTGGGTGGAGAACCATCTGCCCTCCCCGCTCTTCGCGGTCACTCTGAGATGTCCGGACACTTTTGTTTGGATCAATGGCAGAAACAGAGAATGGTTTGGACAGAAGTAGCTGGAAGTATAGAGGAGTCTCTGTGCAGTTGATCAGTTTCAGGCTCCGAGTTGTTTTAATGTCAGTTAAAATCTAGGGAGGAAATATAACATGGGAATTAATGTTAACTGATGGCTTTCTGCTCAGGACCTATGTGTCATTGGGGAATCATTGTGGCACTGAATTCAAAGACTTCAGCAAAGCTGCTTAAAACTTGCCAAAGCTTTACAAATGTTTTGCAACAGCTTGCTATACACAGTGCTCTGATACAAGCCAAAGCATGTGAGAACAAGGTCTCATTGTGCTCATCAAAAAACATGCTGCTCTCTTCTGATCATGTATTAGGCTGGTGACTGCAGCAATTACATTTTGCATTTCCTCAATTTATAGTGTGTAAATATAATTCCTTGCAACTGTAAATAACCCCCACACACCAAAATAATCCTTCCAACCCAGCAAATTAAAATCGTATGTTTTGGGCGTCAGGCCACTTGGTGTTGCCATCTGAAACGCAATTCACAGTTGACAGGCAGCTGGAAGGGGATATGTCCATCCTCACCACCTCTTTTAACCCTGTAAAGCCTGCACGACTGCACCACAATTACACGCATTGCACAGAGTTGTAGGACTGTTGTGGCATGACTTTCCAAGGATTATCATTTTTGCTGTGGCTTCAATGCATGCATTTGTACAACTCCCTCCAGCTCCACAGCTACACAACATTTTTACCACTCTCCAACAGGAAGTGTAAATTAGGTCTAAGTGTCTATAGTTGCATAAAACTTAACAGTAATCAAAGACATCAGTTTTGATACTAACAGGAGAGATTTTCCTGTCTGGGATGAGGTCACTTGCCACAGAATAAAACACCAGCCCTTCCTCATCATCGTCTTCCACTTCTACGGTGAGCCTGCAAAGGAAGAAAAAGACTCACTATATCAACATCTGGCAACTGTTAGGTGTTGGTTCTAAGAAAAAATATTCACAACTTAACCCACTATCTAATCATTCAGTTCATGCCTGTTTCAAAGTGGAGAAGGGATTTAAATACATCCATATCTAAGGGAAGTTTGGTCGATGTTTACAATTAATATTGCTTCTCTTCCCTTCAGATTGGCACATCTCAAAGCTGTGCAATTTGATAAATCTCATAAATACCCTTCCCTCAAACACCCCATTTTCTTATTCTCCTTAGTTCCTATATGGAAAAATGTTTCCTTTCACTGACCGCTTAAGATACTCTGTGGGACTTTATTTCAAGCCCAGCACTTTACACTTCACCACCCTAATACCTATAAGAATTATACAGAAAACCAACACTTAACAATCAAGATTTTTCATGTCACTATCGGAGACTGCATTATCTCCCTTATACTTGACGTTCAATGTCCTGCTTCATAAGATGGAATTTTTTAGCATGCTATTTACCCAACATATATTTTGGAAGAAATGTGATAAATGTGAGCTTTATTCTTCCTGTTTATCAACAATGTATGTCCAAACTATAAGCCTATATGCCGTATCTCTGTAAAATGCTTTCAAAAACATAATAAGGTTAAGGTCTTAACCTTAATAAGACTAAGGTCTTCTCTGAAGCCCGCCTCACCACCTGCCCCCTTGACCCTGTCCCCTCACAACTCCTACGATCACCCTCCTCCTCCATCCTACGCTCCCTCACACACATCTTTAATCTTTCCCTCTCTACTGGCACATTCCCCTCCCCTCTAAAACACGCGCACATCACTCCCATACTCAAAAAACCCTCCCTGGATCCCACCGATCTGAACAACCTTAGACCCATCTCCCTGCTGCTATTTATATCCAAACTCCTAGAGCGCTTAGTCTATAATGGCCTGAGTTCCCACCTCACCGACAACAACCTCCTTGATCCCCTACAGTCTGGCTTCCGCCCCCTACACTCCACCAAAACTGCCCTACTCAAACTCACCAATGACCTACTAACCGCCAAAGCTAATGGCCACTATTCAATGCTCCTCGACCTCTCTGCGGCTTTCGACGCAGTTGACCACCCCCTCCTCCTCAAAAAACAACACTCTCTTGGCCTCAGAGACTCTGCTCTCTCCTGGCTCTCTTCCTATCTATCACAGCGCTCCTTCAGTGTTACCTATAATGCTGCCACCTCCTCTTCACTCCCCCTCTCTGTTGGGGTCCCTCAATGCTCTGTCCTTGGACCCCTTCTCATCTCCATCTACACCTCCTCCCTTGGCCAACTGATACACTCTCATGGCTTCAACTACCATTTCTATGCCGATGACATGCAAATCTATCTCTCTACCCCCTCACCTCACCCTTCAGTCTGCGCCCGTATCACAAGCCTACTGAGCGACATATCGGATTGGATGTCACTCCACTTCCTCAAATGAAATCTTTCCAAAACTGAGCTCCTAGTTTTCCCCCCAGCCCGCGCCCCTCCCCGACTTCTTCATCAAGACCAACAACACCACCATCAGACCCTCCCCTCAAGCCCGAGTACTAGGTGTTATCCTAGACTCCAATGTGTCCTTCCAGCCCCAGGTCCATTCGCTGACAAACTCATGTAGACTTCACCTCCGCAACATCTCCAAAATACGTCTGTTCCTAACCCTGGAAACCACTAAGCAACTCTTTCACTCCCTTATTATATCATGCCTCGACTACTGTAACTCCCCTCCTCACCAGCTTACCTCACCGCAGGCTATCCCCGCTTCAGTCTATCTTGAATGCTGCGGCCAGACTCATGCACCTTACTAACCGCTCCGTATCTGCCACCCCCCTCTGCCAATCCCTCCACTGGCTTCCGATTGCCCAACGGATAAAATTCAAAATACTAACATTGACGTATAAAGCTATTCATAATACTGCCCCAAACTACATCACCGATCTGGTATCCAAATACCACCCAAAACCTCCTACTCTCTAGTTCCCTGGTCTCCTCCTCCCATGCCTGTCTACAGGACTTCTCCAGGGCCTCCCCATCCTCTGGAACTCCCTACCCCAATCCATCAGACTATCACCTACTCTTCTCACCTTTAGGCGCACTCTGAAAACCTATCTCTTCAGGGAAGCCTACCCCGCCCTCAGCTACTTACTGAACTCCTCCACTCTTCCTACCACTCCATCCCCCACTGCTATTTCTTCCTGTATCACTATCCCCTCCCTCCTAGATTGTAAGCTCCAAGGAGCAGGGCCCTCGAACCCCTCGTGTATTGAATCGTATTGTTACTGTACTGTCTCGTGTACTGTCTCCCATTATAATGTTATAATGTACAGCACTGAGCAAACTGTTGGCGCTATATAAATCCTGTATAATAATAATACCATTAAAATGAAATATAAACAAGGCAATTATATTGACATTATGAAAAAATAACAGCAAATTTGTGTTTGTATGTTTGTGAATTTTTAAACCCAACTCCAGCCAGCCACTGTCAGAATTTTCTTGCTGTTATTTCTCTTCACTTCCTGTTCTAGTGAGACGGGAATCAGAGGCACAGCAAGAGAAGGGGAATCACTGCAATGGAGACAGTAATGACTATTTACTATGTTGCTACAAATGAATGGGCTTCCTTAACACAATGCATGTTCATTTGTGACACAACGTGCATTGACACATTAAACATGCATTTATTGCACCACAACAGACCAGGCTAATGTGAATAAAAGTTCAGTAATAATTACCAGACTGATTAAACAAAAACCCAAATCCTTTGGTAGGTAAAACAAATCCTATATACTGCAAGTCATGTAGGCTGATTTCCTTAAGTCCAGCTTTAAAATAATGACTGCAAAGTAATATATGTAACCATGCACAATCCTACTAAGCTCTGTCACATTCTACAGTAAGAAGTATGAAGGTTAAATTGCAAATAGAACATTACTGAAGGGTTTTACATGTCAATTTATAATGCCCCAAATTGACTACAGAGTCTCGCAGCAGTCTGTTAAAAGTATGTACTCACAATGCCGGCTTCACAAATGCCTGAAGCTCCATTTTGATTGGCTCTACCCCATATCCATGCTGTCTTTTTACTCTCCCAGGGACCAGTTTTGCTGACTGAAAGTCAGAGAGATGAATGTACACAAATATATGCATTTTAAATTCACGAAGAGAAACAAATCAAGTCACATTTGAATGAAACCAGAATTATTAAAATACATTTACCTTGTCATCCAAGCTCAGAAATCCCAGGGCATATCCACTACATTCTACCTTCTTGATGACCCCAGAGAGCATGAGAGGAGTGAAAGACACGTGTATGCTACTGTAAGCGCCAGCAGGAACAATCTGCAATACAAAACACAAAGTCTATAGCTACCACTGTAACATAAAATTAAAGCTACTGATAAACCAAAGCAACCATAACATCCCTTAAAAATAGAGTATGTTTCAGCTATAAATTTAAAAAGGAACTTCACTGAAAAATGGAGGTTCCGCTCTTCCTCTTCCTCCCCCCCTCTTCTACTTTTAAAACGTATTTTATTTTAGCAGGGGGTAGATACAGGTACCCACTCCCCCATGGGTGTGTGGACTCCTGCGGAATGCCCAGAGCTGAGACTAGAGGCTGCAAAGATGTGTGTAGTGCATATTTATGTGAGGAACAGTCAGATAGAAGAAAAAGAAGGTATAATGTGAACAGGAGGATTGGTGTGAGATTGTCTTGTACTGGGAAAGTGGAGAAAGATGTGTAGACAGAGGGAGGGGGAATGAAAAACAAAAAAAAACAGCCGCAAGAGCAGACTGTAAAAAGACGGTTCTATATAAACTCAAGCAGAGAAGTATTATTTAAAAAATTTAATACAAAAACTTTATTGCAAACCTTCTGAGGTAAACAGACACACAGAACACACGATAGTCAATAAAATAAGCAGTCCAAACTGCAATGTCAACAGGCAGTCAGTAACATCAATTAAAGCAGCCAAGAGTCACACTAATGCCTAAATAAATGCCACTGATGAAAAACAAGGCCTTGCTAGGGGTCAAAAGAAGCCAGTAGAAATATGCTATAAATATAATAGATATGAAGAGGAAAATAGAGCCACCAATGTCCTGGGTGCTGCAGGGCAATGCCCTTTATCATGAGTGATCACATAATTCTGAGATTGGGCCTGTAAATTCCAGTTACCCTAGAGTAGAAAATCCTGGGGACCATGTAGTAAGTGCGGGGGGCAGAGTCAATTGGGCACAACCATAAAATTGAATCACAAACAACAAAGATAATCCAGGCAACAGGCACCATCCAGTAGGTGTATAGTAAATATAAGTTAAGAGGTGATTCCAATTGGATGAGGTGGAGTCCTGAAATTGTCCACAACATGTTAAGCCAGGGAAATGGAAAGAGTTTCAGCTGCTCCGACTGTATGCATGTAATATAAACCATGTATGCTGCTCTTAAGTGACACGGCAATCTGACAGCTCAGCAGATGACCTTGAGCTGACACAAGTCCAGCTAAGGTGGAAGATGAGAGTAGATAATCACATAGAAAGATCACAGTTGAATCACTCACCAGGAGTGTATCAAACACTCCAAGACTTGGTAATGAATAGCTGATCTCTCTGCAAGCTTCCATTAAATGCTACCTGCATCAGGCTGCGTTACTCCCTGTGAATGTGGGTCCAAATATGACTCCCAGGAAAGGCAGTTTACAAGGTATTGCAATGTTTTAGGCATTGCACACATGGTTCCAAATCTGCCTTGCTTGTTCACATGCTTGTGAAGACGCATGTGGACATCACGTCCGGGTGCGATGACGTCATTACGTTGACGCGTTTCATTCGCCAATCACTGCAGACTTTGCCGGACTTGTTTTGTTTTGCATTTTGCTCAGTTATAACCTACATCTTTATTTATGATGAGACAGAGAGTCAATATGTAGGCTGGTCTCTCTACTTAGGTGGCTACTCTTTCATTATTACAGGAGGGGAAATGAACCAGAGGTGAAATGAGCCAGTGCAGCAGAACTATGTGAAAGTAGTTTATCAGGAATGAACGTGGAGTGACCCGAGAAGAAGAGCAAGTTGATGGGGGTGGAGAGAGCTCAATGAAGGTGGAGAGGGTTAATATGTTACACTCAGTAGTAAAGATAAGGGAGACTTAAAGCGAAGCAGCAGAAGCTCCCAGCGTGACCCCCTTTCCCTACATATTAACAGTGTGCATATGACCCTTCTGCCCACCCTTATCCCAGCCTTGAGTACAGGACACAAGCTGAGTAGTCATAGACCCTGAGACATCCCCAAGCAATGAGAAGGGTGAACAACAACTAAGCAAAAAGAACTGTGCCAACAGCAACAAAGTTCAAAAGACCCAACTTTAGAATGCTGTTGCAAGAACCTTGTAACTGAAAGTTGAATCCACAAGACTCAACATCCACCAAGTAAAACTTTAAAAAGGTATGAACAGAGGATCAGCTTGCGACCTTACAAAGCTGGGCTACAGAGACGTGGTGAAGAGAGAACAAACAGGGGGCACATAGGCCTAGTGCAATACCATCAAAAATGTTTAATAAGAAATAAAAGTAGGTGTTGTACTCACAAACGACAGTAAAGTCAAAGGCACGTCCTAAAAGAACAGCTTGGTCAACACTGCGCTACGTGACTGTCCGCAATCGGAAGTGTAGACATCCAATAGGCTGATGCGTTACGAGGACTTGACTCTTCCTCAGAGGGCTCTTACCCGTTTTTAAAAAAAAAAAATCTCTGGCTTCACTCTACCTTGTCAGAACCTTTATTCAAGGTGTATGTCAGATTAGGCTCCCCTTACATCACCTTATGCTTCCTAGGGACTGCAATTTGCTTCTCTCTGCCCTGAAGAATCTACCCTTTGAACACATCAGAGATATGCTCTTAGATGATCTCTCTCCTGCAAAGCGATATTTTTAGTTGCTGCCACATCTCTCAGATATGTCACTTCCTAAGCAGTGGTGTATTTATCCCTTGTGTTCTGGTGCCTCCATCTGCCACCGCTGCCCACCAACTCCCCCACAACCACCACCCTCTGCCACCACCACCCACCAACACCCCTGCCCCCGTGACCACTACTTTCTGCTACCGTAGTGGCAGTGCCAAGCTTCGGCTGCTCCCAGGCAGCACTCACCCATCAGCGGAGGCTTCTTCCTTGTCCGGCTGCTTGGCTCCTCCTCTCTATTGTGTGTGAGCCCTGGCCTGCAGATCCGGCGACCACCATCTGCCAATCATTGGCCAAGAGGAGGAGCTTGCAGAGGGAGGGGCGGGCCCTCCTAGACCACTCACTGATCCCGGGGATGTAGCCGAATAAAAGAGGAGAGGGAATGGCTTATTTTACTCAGCGGAGTGAATGCTATGATGTGCCAGGGCAGGTGTTCATTTGGTAGAGGGTCTTTCACATGTTTAGAATAATTAATGGTGCAAATGCTGGTTAAACGTACCTATGTGTGTGTAATTGTGTGTATATGACTTGCTTTTAGTTACTGCATCCAGCATTGCATTACAAATAGCTATGCCGCAGGTCTGGCCTGCTTGAGAGAGGCCAGGTGACTTCATCTAGTTTTCTTAGTATGTCAATGTACTAGGTTTATCTTGGCCATTATGATGCAATGAGAATTGCTTCTTTTACTCTGCTTTGTTGAGCAGGCTAGTTCAAATGCACACTGTATGAAAGGCATTGATGAGCCTGAACTGAGACAAAGCATCTGATGCATCTGAGGATCCTTGGTCCTGGCCACAAACAGAGGTAGCTTGTTGATAAATCTGGAGGTCAGCATATCCCCCATCTCTGACATATTCGGTTGAAGATGTCAGGGTGAAGGGCCCATTCCCCTTATTCCAGGCAGTGACAGCAGAGGTAATCAGCCTTCCAGGTGTCCACTCCTGGAATATCGACAGCAGAGATCATTAAATGGTGAGCCTTTGCCCATGAGATGATCTGGCTTTCCTCCTTCAAAGCTGCATGACTTCTTGTTCCCCCTTTGTGGTTATTGTAGGCCACAGCCATGGCATTGGCTGAATACACCCTGATGGGGTGTCCTTGCAGAATGGGACTTCAGTGCTGCAGAGCCATATTTATTGTTCCAGGAGCTCCAGGATGTTGATAGGAAGCTTGGCTTCCACTGATGAACATATTCTTTGAATCGTGAGGGACTGGAACACTCCTTCCTGGCCTGAAAGACCAGCATTTGTTGTTTCCACTTTCTAAACTTCCCCGTGTCAAAGCTGGGCTGGAGATCTACCACCTCCTTGCTTGGCTAGACAGGAGCATGGGTAGGTCAAGAGAAGGAGCAACCTTGTTTCAGTAAGATGTTGTGCTGGAGAGGCCTCAAATGATATTTGGCAAATGGAGAAGGAGGCTACCAAAAGGCCTATAGGGAGAATCTCACTGAGGGATTTGTCTTTAACTTCAACTCCTAGGCATAAGCTCTAAGAGAAAGCATTTTCTTCTTTGGAAGGAAAACCTTTCCTTGGGATGTGTCCAGGATCAGACCAAAGTTTTCCAGGTAAAGAAACGGCTGGAGAAGAGGCTTTTGGTCACCCAACGGAAATCCTGGAGCATCTGAATTTTTCTGTGGATGTTTGTATCAGGAAGAGGAGTCCTTCAGGAGAAGCTCATCTAGATAACCTGTAACCTGGATGCCTTTAGTTCTTAGAAGGAAAAAAAAGGTGGTAGGACCTTTGTGAAAACTCTGGGAGCAGAGGATATTCCAAGTGCAACTGACTGGAGGTGATTGTTTCCTACTGCAAAGTACAGAACGTGCTGATAAGATGGATAAATGGGAATATGCGGATAGGTATCTTGGATGGCTACGGATTCCAAGTATTCTCATTGACAATAACTAATCTTGTGGATGCCATGCAACATTTTAGAATTTGAAGGTAATTGTTGAGAGATTTTAAGTCCAGAATAGGATGAATACTCCTGCTAAGCATTGGTACCGGTTCTTTGAACCAGCCGTGTGGAATTACTGGCACAACCACTTCCTGGGACAAGAGATTGTCCTTGGGCAGATTAATAATAATGTTAATACAGGAGGTGGGAGAGAACACAACAAATAGTATTAGGAAACACAAACATAGACCAACACCTGCGTGATGAGTTTAACACATGGTACTGTGTCTGCCAATGTACTCAGAGAATAATAGGATTCTATGGTAAATTTACGCAAGTAAACTTCTGGCTTACTGTCTGCCTTGGAGTGATGCAATATGGGGTAATCAGAGGCCACTCCTTCATGAGGTCTCAGAATGACAGAAATTAATTTATCATCTGGAGAGAATGCTCTTTCTTGGCCATCGTGAATGTCACTCACTTCTTCAGCCCCATTGATCTGTTCCATGCCATTTGCTTGCTGAAGGAAGAAGATTTACACTATAATCCACATCTAAAAATCATACAAATAGTAATTGGAAGTAATAATTATTAATAATATGTGTCTTTTTCTGAAGATGAAAGGACTGCATTCATGGAAAACCGATTTATTTTACCAAACACATGGCATGCTCTCATTGTGGGTTAGTAACACTATGCTATGCTGTATATGTTAATCTACACTATTTCATCTTTTACAAGTGATGCAAAAGAAAGGTCCCAATGAACCCTGGCAGCATAGATTTTTTTGGCTGAATTTGAACCTACTCTGTCAGGAAATGATAAAGAGGGGCGGGAATGGCCACATACAGGCCCAGATTTTGTTTAATTCTAGCATGTGTATGTCTATTAAAACCCATACATGTTATTCCGTCATAGAACAGGTTGTTGTGTTCCTAAATTTGCATTGTGGGTAGGTTATGTTGTCCATGCAGATGAAAATATTCTTATAATATCATTATTATTAGTATTAGTAGTAATAAATAGCTCATAGAATACAAAAATGCCAGCATGTTGCTTGAATCACACAACAGAATCTTCTGTTTCTCAGGATTTCTCATTCATTACTGGTAATGAAGTTATGGTTTTGCCCACACGTGACAAACATTACAAGGAAGTCTCAATCTCATGTTAATTATCATGTATTTTATATTCTATAGTTAGAGTGAACCTTCACCTGAACCTGAAAGTTCCTATTATAATCTTCCACCCCCCCTTAGTCTAATAAAAAATGGCATTTTTGGAGGGAAGTGAATACCCTTTTTGGTGAGACCCACTCCAATTCCTTATTCCCTCCCCAAACAAGGATGAAGTCACCTTGGCCTGAAACACCCAGCCCATCCTCCTTCACCTGCCTGCAGCCTACTGGGATACATTCACACATCCCAGGAGGCTACTGGACTGGTCCAACAGCAGACCACCATCTCTTGCATGCACTGAGTCATCAGAAAATGGCTTCTGGCTCCCCAAATCAAGATGATGGCTCAAAAGAATCGAGGCTCTGAAAAAGCATGGAAAATAATGAAATAGACAATAGTTGGGAGTTTTTTTTTTCTGATGTATTTCCAAAATATATAAAATGCTATGGTTTGGTTGACCAGAATCCACTGGTAACTGTAACAATAATTTTGAGTAGAATGATCTTGTTGTTCATGTATTTTGCAAAAACGACTTCAGTGTTCTGTAGAGATATAATCTTCATCCGGTAGATGGCAGTGTTTTTCAACGTTTGTAGCTGCATCTATGCTAAAACTCTGTCTTTTCTCTATAAAATAGTTCTTGTTTCTTGTCTGTAGAGAAGCAAGAGATACACACATGTAGGCTGTGCACTGTCTATTCTATAGGGCTATATACAGAATTTCTAACAGATCTTTTTACTTTAATACTTACACTGGGGCTTCTTTGAGAAACTGATAACGATGACTCAGATGTACTGGGGATTTTATCCCAGTCCTGAGATGAGCTGCCACTTTCTGGAATATCCAGACTGGAATCCACAATATCATTTCCATCTATGTCCTTCAGAGGGAAAGGGTCTCCATACAACAGCACAAGGTCTACAAGTTTGGAGCTATCCTCTTCTCGATTGTATGTCTCCCAATCTAGGCGGATATCTGAAAGTTATAAAGTGACAGAAGTCATTTCTACACACTGATTATCAATAAATAATTACTTCGAAAGTTCAAAGGCCTATGGTAAGATTTACATGGATGACTGAATAACTAAGTTTAAAACTTAATGTATGGACTATAACAGCCACCTAGAATATTTGGTATCTGAAAATGGAGATCTATTGTCTTCGACTTCATTTTTTTATTTGTTTATTTAGAATAGCACAAGTACATTCAGAGGCAAACATTTGAATGTTTCAGGTGCAGCTGAGGAATAATGGTACATTATTGGGGTGTAGGCTACAGATGGGAAGGTCTGGAAAAAAAACAGATAAACTGGGGAAAAAAAACTGTTTTTGTTTTTTCCAAAGCCGTTTTTTGTTTTTTTGGCGGAATAATGTACTTGTGGAGTGTGGATAAACATTATATATCTAAGACATGGTATTCAAACTACCGTATTTTTCACTCCATAAGACGCACTTTTTTCCCAAAAAATGGGGAAAAATGTCTGTGCGTCTCATGGAGCAAATATGGAGCGGCCGGCTCGGTATTCCCCCCGTTGCCGCTGCTGTGTTAGAATACTGGGCCGGCCAGTCAGCTCTTCTGTGCAGCAGAACCTGCTCCTCGGTCCTACCTCTTCCTTCGGTCCAGCGGTGTCCTCAACACCGCTGGTATTACCAGCCGTCTTCTCTCCCCGGTGCCAGCATCTTCAGTGTGGGCACCCGACTGTGACAGCTTGCGGCTTTACAGCCGGGTGCCCACTGCACATGCGCAAGAAGTGCTGTGCTTTGTGAATGACCCTGTAGTCTTCTGGGACCTGTCACGTGTCTCAAAAGACTACGGGAAGGGAGGGAGGGCATCCTCTGCTTTCGATCGCATAGGCAATCACAGCGGAAGTGGGAGTGGGTACCTGTCAAATTCAGGTACCCGTTCCCCAAAGGTCTGCAGGTCTGGTCTGGTCATCTCCTGTACTATGTCCGCAGTCTCCGGTCATCTCCTGTACTATGTCCGCAGTATCTGGTCATCTCCTGTAATATCGCCGCAGTCTCTGGTCGTCTCCTGTAATATGTCCGCAGTCTCTGGTCATCTCTTGTAGCACATCTGCAGTTTCTGGTCATCTCCTGTAACATGTCTGCAGTCTCTGGTTATCTCCTGTAGTACATCCACAGTCTCTGGTCATTTCCTGTACTATGTCTGCAGTTCATTGGTTCAGAATATTTTTTTTCTTGTTTTCCTTCTCTAAAAACTAGGTGCGTCTTATGGTCAGGTGCGTCTTATGGAGCGAAAAGTATGTTATATAACATTAAGACCTTAATAAAAGATTTCTGAGACCTTATGTAAAGTCTTCAATTATTTCAAGTTCTATCAGCTGAATATCAGAAAATCCTGGAATACAGTTCAAGTAATACTGCACTTCTCACTTCAGTTCTCAACAGGGGTGGACTGACAACTCATGGGGCCCCTTGGCAATAGGGGATCATGGGGCCCCTGTGTCCTCACCCACACTCAAAAAAGCCTCTGAAAGGTACCAGGGCATCTCATGGGGCCCCCTACTGACCCTGGGCCCTCGGGCAGTGCCCGAGTGATCGAATGGTCAGTCAGCTCCTGGTTCTCAAACAAGAGATATATGCATTTCTACCACCAGGGGGCACTGCAGCAGAAAAGCTACAGTTTAGGTTGCTTGGGAGCTCCATCTTGTACTTTCTACAGTTGGGTGATTGTTGGGATACAGAAAATGATAGTTTCTGTCCTCTTTGGCTGTAATTGACAGGCAAGAGGGTAAATTTGTCTGAAAAATTAGTTTATCAACTGACCTTTTTAAAGGGTAGAAAAGCTTGTTTCAGTCCATGCAAACCTTAGGTTTGTAGAAGTCCATGAGAATAATGACAAATATGAAGAGGAAGAAGAAACAGAAATTGATAGCAGTAGTTCAGAAAATGAAATGAGATTTCATGTATATGTTGTGTTTTCTTGTTTCCTTTTCTCAATGTATTATTTTTTTTTTAAAGCACCACTCAAAATTTAAACCTCACGATGGAGCCTAAATATTGAGGTGGAACTTACACCCCTAATTTTCATATCCTACTGGCACAAATAATGCCAGCTACCTACCTTTTTATTTGTTATGGATGCTAAAGGGCAAGTCTGATTTTTTTATGTTGATGGGTTCTTGCTTTTTTTTGTTGCTTTTGAGGGAAAGAGGATTGTCACCTGTTCTCATGTATAGTTGAATTTTTTTAAAATATACAGTTCATTTGTAAGAAAAAATTCAAATTTAAAAAGCATAATACTTTTACATACACTGTATTTCACATTCCCAGTGTAAAAAAAATTACTTTTGATTTGTAAATACTCCACACTCATTCACAGGGAATGAAAAGATGCTGAAATGCTCACCAAAAGGACTCGGATTGTTAATACGCAAACAGCGAGAAATGGTGTCTCCACCAGACACATGTGTACCAAACCTTAAAAAGATAAACAAAATATTTCCTATTTCAGTTATTTATTTGGTGCTGTCAATTTACGCAGTGCTTTACATATATATTGAACAATACCAATTACTCTGCGCTATATACGGTGAAATAGATATGATACTACAGCAGCCAGCACAGTATTGCAGGTGTCAATACATAAACAAAATAAAATATAAACGTGCAGCGCTATAAAAAATTAATATCCATAAAAAGCATAATAGTACAAAATCACAAACACATCTATAATGTCCATATGTGCCAAAAAACAAACAAAAATATATTCGTTGATACTAAGTGCAAAACAAAGTCCAAATAAAATTATAAAAAGTTATATATAAAAACTTTTTTTAATAAAAAAATTATAATGTTTTTACTTCAAACTAATTCTCCATGTGATTTCAAAAAAACCATATGAAATATAAAAAACTTCTTTGCGAATCCACCATCACCAACACCTCAAAATTACTGCCGCTTACCAGACATATATGACCACATATATGACCGGTCAAAAACGCATGTGTGGATATATGGATTTCCAATTCAAATGTTGAACTTCATTAGTGCTGAATTGAGGAAATGCAATGTATTTCATGCACTGAATGCAATTGCACATCAATAAGCTACTTCTACTGGATTTCCCATTCGAAATACAGGCTTCAAAAAGGATGTTCCAAACTTATGGCCAAATTCAAACCTAAAAAAACGCATTGCCCTCAAAAAGGACAAAATCATCCAAAAAACAAAAAAGAATTTGTAGTGCAGTATAACAGACAAGATGTATTGATCCACAACGTGGTATTATATGTACATCAAAGTGTGCTTAAAATAGCATGTCACCATATAGCCAAATGGTAAAAGTTTCAAACCAACAAGATGGCCGCCACGCTCCTGTGCGTGCTGACGTCACGCATACTGACTCTTCTCAACGCGTTTCATCATCAATGATGTCTTCAGGCTTCAGTAAAAACATAATTTTTTTTTATTAAAAAATTTTTTTATATATAATTTTTTATAATTTTGTTTGGACTTTGTTTTGCACTTAATATCAACGAATATATTTTAGGGTTTTTTTTGGGCATATATGGACATTATAATTGTTTTTGTGATTTTGTACTATTATGCTTTTTATGGATACTAGTTTTTTATAGCGCTGCACGATTATATTTTACTTTACACATATATATTGTGCATTCACATCAGTCTCTAACCCTCAAGGGGCGTACAATCTAAGGTCCTTCACTCATATTCATACATACACATACTAGGGCCAATTTAGAGAGGATCCAATTAACCTACCAGAATGTCTTTGGACTAAAATATTTCTCATATATTATTCATCCATGTATAATTTTTCAAATCATTAAGATCTTGCCTACCATTAAGATGAGTATTCTAGTATCATGTATCAGAAATCAGCCTAATTTACTGAAGTGTAACGTGAGATCATATGCATCTGTGTGTACCCCTAGCATGCCACCACATGCAGAGCAATTTCATATTTCAATGTTTTTATTAAAAGAACAACATATAGAGCTACAAGATTAACAAGTAGGAAAAATAAAAATTTCCAAAATTTCCATGTGCGAAAATAAATGACACAGGCATGATATAAAGGAATGAATGAATCGGACTGAACCGTTAGGTACATGATCAGCTAGTCCCTCTGGTGCAGTCTACAGGCCAAGGAAACAAAACCTCAACAATAAACAGGAATCAAGTACAAAGTGCATCATGAAAAACAAAGAATGATAAGCATAATCACCCTGTATTCAGACACCAGCACATAATATAGCAAAAGTAAATTGTCAGAATCAAAAATTGTAAATAAAAAGAAAAGAAGAAAGAAGGAAAAAAAAAAGGGAGTAAAGTAGAGGAGGGTCAGCCAAAAACCTGTTAAGTAACGGAGAGGTAGCGAATCCATGAATCCCAAGTACTGTTGAACTTTAAGGCAGTATTAGCCATTATCCAATTAAGTTTATGTTTGACATAATCAAGTGGTATCACCGATCACTTCCAACTTTTAGCTATCATAATTCTAGCAGCCAGGAGAATGTAAAGAATCAGTTTGACCGATTTCTTGGCGATACCTGTGGGTAACTTCTGAAAAGGGGCGACCTCCGGGGACCAATGAATATTCACTCTTGTCACTGAATAAATAAAATGAAATATACAAATCCAAAATCTAATTACCACAGGACATTGCCACCAAATATGGCACATAGTTCCCTCCTGCCCACAGCACCGGAAACGGGAAGGTGACGTGGTAGGATACATACATTTTGCAAAGCGTGTAGGGACCAGGTACCAGCGCAGGAGCATTTTATAATTAGTTTCACTAAGTGAAGTATTAATAGAAATTTTGGACAAAGTGTAAGTCGTATCTTGCCAATCAGTTAGTTCTAAGGAGATATGTAAGTCCCTTTCCCACTGTATCATATAAGGAAGCTTGGTTGTTGGATCAATAAGGGAAGTATATATAGTTGATATACCATACCATAAACTCGACATGAGAGTTCAAAACAGGTGAGTGTTAAGGATTCCGTTAATAGTTTGTTTGGATTGGATAATGGACACAATTTGATTATATCGAAAGATTTAACTAGGGGGTAGTTGGTGCTTATCTCGAAAACACTGTGAAGAATGTAGGCGATTCCCATCTAAATAGTCCCCAATACGTAGAAAGCCCTTATTGATCCACCACTGAAATAAAGACGGCACAAGCCCAGGTATAAATTCAGGATAACAAAAACAGGAGCTAAGGGGGTATGGAGGGTAGATAAGGATTTACGGATGTGCAGCCCTTCCCATACTGTTAAAGAATAAGATGATGTAGGGCATAAAATGGGAAGACGCAGTCGACTGGAAAGCCACATAAGAGAGCCAATAGCGTAAGGATGACAAGAAAGGACTTCAATACTAACCCATTGGGGTTTAGGACCCTTGGCTGTAGTGCAGGAGAGCTGCATTATCTGGGCCACATGGAAATAGGCCAAAGGAGTCCCAAACTGGCATGTTTTTTCTGGGAATACAATGTTGAATTGGTAAGTCGGTGGCGCTTATTACTCCACACAAATCGAAAGACTTCATTTTGATAGATTTGATTCTACCAAACCAAGATAGGAGGAAATCTGCCCATCTACTCAGGTCTTCCTTGGCACGATATAATGTCGCAATAGAATGTGTAAGATGGACTCCTAGGTAAGGGAGGGGGTGGGGCAGCCCTTACCATTGAAAATAAAAATGGTCCCGAAGGTTCTGTACCTCCGAAAGGGCAAAGAGATGTTGAGAGCAGTTGTTTTAGAAGAATTTAGAGTGAGTCCCAAAGCTAGAGAGAATTGACAAAGCAGAGTCAACAAACTGGGCAAAGATGTTTGGGGATTGGAGACATACATAAGCACATCATCAGCAAACAGGGCACATTTTGTGTTCTTGTCGGCCACATTGAATACACGTAATGCCAGGGTGAGAACGAATAGCAATAGCAAGGGGTTCTATTGCCAGCACGAAAAATAAGGGAGAATGTGGACATACCTACTACTACCTGTCTACTACCACATCTGATAAGAAGAGGAGCCGATTTATACCCACGGATAGAAACCTGAGCCGAGGGATTACAATATAGAGCTCATAGTAGAGAAATAAAAATGGAGCCAAACCCAAAGGCACTCAACATACGAAATATGTAGTCCCAAGTCAAACTATCGAACGCCCTTGTGAAGATCCAGAGATAGCAGCAAGATTTCCAGTGGTAGGGAGTTATCCCAGTTAGATTTCATTGCAGATATCAATGCTAAGGTTCGATGGATTTGATCAAATGTTTGTCGTCACCGAATAAACCCTGATTGGTCATCATGAAAGTAGTTTGCCAGAAACGTATTGAGGCATAAGGCCAAAACTTAAGTAAGGATCTTTAAGTCGCAATTTATCGGGGAAATAGGGCGGTAATTAAGAACAGCCGTGGTATTCTTATTAGGCTTGGGAATAATACTAATATACGTTCTATTCTCATCGTGTGGCACTAAACCCCCATCCCGTAGATGGCTGAAGTAAAGAGCCATATGTGGAACCAATAAGTATGAAAAGGTTTTATAATAATTATGGGGAAGGTCAGGTCCTGGTGATTTATGAAGAGCTAAAGTTTTGACAGCTTGCTGTATCTCCTCACTAGTGATAGGTTGATCCATGAGGTCTCTATGAGCCTCCTGGAGAGATGGGAGAGTCAAAGATGTCAAAAAAATTGATCAATAAACAGGGAGGCATTTTCTCGGGGTTTGACGATAAAGGTCAGTATAAAAGGAATTAAATTCATGAAGAATTTTGCAAGGGTCTTGGGACACATGACCAGTCGATAATCTAATTTTAGGGAGAGCTATACGAGAATGCTGGGGAGATAGTTTACATGCCAGCAGTCTATCCCTCCAAGTGAAAAATTAGTGGTTAGCCCAATGTAACTGTTTATCTGCCGAAGTAGTGAGGCATAAATTAAGTTCCATGTGGGCTTGGTCAAGTTTAGCCAACAAGTCAGAGTTGGGAATTTTGTTTTATGTTGGGCAGCAAGAACACTATATGCTTTGGATTTAGCCTAAATCAATTCATCCCAAGCCTTTTTAAGTTGGGAAGATAATTGAATAAGAAAGCCCCTAACTGAAGTCTTATGGGCTGCCCAATTTATAGCAGGATTCGTGTCCTCTGCTTTACTTGTTTCAAAATAGAATTTCAGATGAGTAGAAATATCGAGGTAATAGGATTCTCAAGAGAGATTCATTAAGGCACCAATGAGGGTTAGCCATCCTAGTCATCAAGGTAGAAAGTGTTAATAGGACAGGATCGTGATCAGACCAAGAAGCAGAAACAATCTTAGCAGTGAGCAATTTAGGTTGCAGCCTTGAGAGGAGAAACACCTGATCAATGCAGGAATAACAATTATGAGCTCTGGAGAAATCAGAACAATCTCGAGAAGTTGGATTAGCCTCCCTCCAAGCGTTGACCAAATCATAGCCAAAGAATAACTGAGAAAACTTGCCGCTCTGCCTGGAAGGGGACCTAAGCATAGCAACACGAGACTTGTCCAATATCTTGTCTAATGCTAAATTAAAATTTTAAGCCATTATAACATCGCCCTCAAACTCTGAAGCCAAAGAGCAGAGTGGGGATCGGAAGAACCCCACCTGATTAGTATTTGGTGCGCAATAGATCAGAAAGGTGACCAAATTTTCTCCCAGATGCCTCTTCCCCAAAAGATAGCGTCCCTCCCGATCCTTAATTACGTTAGTTTCAATGAAAGATAAGCACCGGGATAGGCAAAGCGCAACCACCCTCTTCCTTTCCAAAGCATTAGAAAAATAGCAAACCGGATAATCTTTATGCACATATCGTGGGAGGAAAAAAGGGGGATAGTGTGTCTCCTGGAGGGCCACAACGTCAGCTCCTAAAGAACGGTAATGGCAGAAGGCTTTAGTATGTTTAGAAGGAGAGCCAAACACCTGGACATTAAGGGAAAACAATTGAATGATACTCTATCAGACTGCTGTGAGGACATAGTTGGCAACAAAATTCCGATGGACATGAAATCTCACCAGCCTTCACGAAGCAGCAGGAATCCTAGATATCCGATAGAGAACATGGCTAACCAAGACACACGGGGTAAGTATCACCCAGTGCCAGAGGAAATATTACAATATACATCATAAAGCAACATGGAAAAAAACAAAATAAACCAAATAGTCCAGGGCTATGGCCCCAGAAGGGAAGGGGTCTTCCCAAAGACCAACCTCCGGGGAGAGTCCTCCGATCTGAGAGGGCACATAGACACCTCCCGACAGGCAGTAGAACATAAACGGCAACCGACATCTCGCAAAAAAAATTCAGGAAACAGCAACAACACAGAAATCTCAATTAAACAATTGCGAGTGAATTATTAGTTTGAAACAAAACATACTCTTGGGGAGGAAAAAAAGGTTGGGGGGGTGGAGGAGGAAACATAAGCAACAAAAACAGAGGAAGGGGGGAAGGGAGAAACGCACAGGCAAGAAACCAAATAAACTGACAAAGGTAGCTAATGTTCCAATAGGGAACCACACAGAAGATACCATGTAGGACATTCAGGGCACATCAATGGAAAATTCTCAAGTAGCTCGACGAGATGGTCTAATCGTCTTTGATGGGGAGGAGGACCAGAGTGGCTAAAACGGAACGTTGAACCTGGATTGGGTATGTGATGAAGGACTATGGGAAATGAAGCCCAGCTGGAGTAAGATCTTTTCTCCTTCATGAAATGTAGAAAAAGCATAGGGTTTACCATTGTAGGTAAATTGAAGCCAAAATGTATAAGCTCAACGACAGTGAATGTCCCGCTGCACCAAGGAGGAAAGTAACAGTTTGAAGGATCTTCTCTTCTGGATGATAGTTTGAGAGAGATCTGCAAATATTTGAATTTTGTAGCCAGCAAGTTCCATGTCTGAGTTTTCTCTACTGTATTTCATGACCGCTTTTTTAATCCAGACGAAGTGTGGTTTGACGGTGACATCTCTGGGAGGACCCTCTAGTTTAGGAGGAATCAGGGATCTGTGGATGCGGTCAATGTCTAAATGGATGTCATCAATCTCAGGCACTGCAGATCGCATAAGCAAATAAGTAAGGGTAGTAAGATCTTTCACCGATTCCGGAAATTGTAACGTCGGGCCCGGTTTTCCAGGTCATCTATTTTAGTGTAGGCTTCTTCCAGTTGGTCCTGAAACTCAGTAATCATGTTAGAATTTTGAGATACATTATGGATAGTGGGTCTACTTTAGATTCAATACTATCCAGACGCTGGCCTAATTCTTGGAGATCCTGCTTTAAATCCAGTGCTAGCTTAGTAGTAGCCAGTTCCCACTGTAACAGATCAGCAAAGCAGGCAATAAGGACTGTGTCTCCCGAATACTGCATCGGGATAGGCGGAGTTGCTGGGGATCCAGCGGGGCTATCCAGATCAGGGTCTGTGCCACTATTTTGGCTGAGGAAAATATCAGCCATCTCCTTATCCAAGGCAGAGGAAGTGTGAGAATCATGGCCTAAGGAGCAGGCAGAGGCCTGTGATGGAGATGCAGCAGAACTAGAGGAAGGATGGGGGGATTGAAGAGGCACATTCACCCCCTTAGTAGAAGTCCACATCAGTCCTCAACACAGGAGATGCCAGCTTTGATCCTCTGTGGAAGGGGCCTGCTGTGCAGGGAAGAACCGCCAGCAATGGGACCAGAGCTGGCCACCATCTTGCCCCCCTGCCCGCCACAAGGAGCGGGTGCTGAGAGCCCCTCCAGCCCTTTCCAGTTGCTCGACCCAGCATGGAGAAGGGCTCTACAGTGCCCAGAGGTGACAGGATTCAGTTGGGAGCCTGGGAGAGGTCCGGTGCCCGTTGTTGCTGAGTGTGCTGGGAGGGTGCAGAGTGGATCACAAGGACATCTGCTCCGGCTGACCGTGCATGTGCACCCCAGAGCAATTTTAAAACATAACTTCTTCCTAAAGAGGTTCTACAGTTTATCTGGGGTTTTAAAGATCAGCTTATTGAAAAAAAAATAACAATGTTATCAGTGTGTGTTCATGGTTTATAAACACTTTATTCTAATAATAAACAGCTCCTATTAGCTAGAGCCCATGTGATTTTTGCCTAGGCTTTAGGTCTCATGAGGGAGCTCAGTAGCAAAATTTTTTTAATTTGTGGCAAGAAACCTGTACTCTTCTGTTTAAAATCATGTAATTTTTCATGCTGACGTGCTCTGTTCATTCATGTGAAGTGTGATTATTAGTGAAATGTGCAGTGTAATGTTTTTTTTTTAATAACATGTGCATTACCTTAATGCAGGACCTTCTGTCTGGCGATTATGTCTTGGCCCTGCCATTTGAAAGTAGAGGGGACATCCCTTTATATTTATTTTCATAGGAATCTCATTAGGGTTTAGATCTCCAACCTAAAGACAATAATGTACAGAGTTAAGTTACATCATTAAATTACTAAACTGCAATGGCCAAAATACAAATCCTAGCATTCACTATTCTATATCCCCAGGTATTTCTTTCTGTCATAACAGAAACACTTTGACATTTGGTAAGTATATAGTAACACATACCGTACAGACAAGTTGATCTGAATACTCTCCCCACATATTACTATAAGCAGTCACATCAATGGATATCTGCTGGAATGGTCCAAGTATTCCTGAGCTTGGCTGAGCAATAAAAGCAGCTCCTTTCCCATCTGACAGTATTAACAATCTTGTATCTAAAAGCACATAACAGATTTACATAATTTTTTCTTTTTTCCAATATGTCACAGAGTCTAAAATTCACTAAATATACAATATTATGTTTTTTACTGCAAGAGAAATGTATAGTATTTTGTTTTCCATGCAAAACTAAAGAGGAGCTGCCATTCAAACAACAACTGTCATTGCATTGGAACATTTGCATTAAGAGACCTTGTCTATGCAGTAAAATAAGCTGGCTATACGATACTCTAGATTAGTTTAAATGCATTATCGTTTGCCGACTTCTCTTTTGTGGCCCTTCACTGTGACCCAGTGGAGCTGAAATCAAAATCTCTATATTTTGGCTATTATGGCTTTTCAGCAATCTTGCCACAGACATAAATGATTTTTGCATGTTTATTAGATTTTTGCCAACTGGGAGAATTTTCTTTTGCTTTTTTAATTCTTTTCTTATATGTTGACACTACACTCCTAAAGTATATCCATACAATAAACAAACAATGTGACCACGTGTCATATTATATGTCTCGCTGAAATATAATATTGCCATCCAATATTAGATGTCTCTATACATGCAATACATAGAGATCACATACCAGCTTCTGCTCTTTTGACTGCTTGCTCTGCAAACCTGGCCATTCTTTGCATGACAGACACTGTAGAACTGAAAAAAACCCCACAAACAGTAACTCAGTATTATAGAATATGAGGAGACCAACCAAAGCTTAAAGAAAAAATAACGAATTAGCAAATTCACATAATACACTGCAAAGAACCACAGGGACATCTGTAGAAGGAATGAACACTTCTAAAAAGATTACTTTTTTCCTGGATCCAAATTAATTAAAGTAATACCACTAGAAGTAATGATGTAGCATCAGAGTAGGGCTTCTTCCTGTTATAGCTACCCATAAACACATCAACTGTCAGCCATATTAGGTTGTTTTATCCCTAGTATGTCATTAACTAGCCTTGGTATGGGGAAGTAAACATTACTCTTGCTTGATGGCCTTTTGTCATCCGAAAAAATGGTTGCACAGTAGAATCTGGGGAACAATGACCACAAATTGAAGTGTGTTTCCATTATATCAATATGATCTCTGTACAAACGTAGAACTTTGTGGTGATGCCAGATATCTTTTGCTCAGCACTTGCATCTGTAATGGCGAACTCGAACACACTGGGGAGGATCTGTTTCGATGTCTAGCGTGGTCAGTTTTAATTAGGAAAGCAAGTGGATTGGCAGGATCACCAGATATTTCACACAAAGAAATACAACGAGCACAAGATACTTTAATACAAGTACATGGCACAACAGACACATATCAGAAATATGAAATGTTGGGGATAAGCTGGCCATAGATGGATGAAAGTTAGGCCAGTTCAGCATGGAATGGACAAATTTCGATCCACATGTTGCCACTGCACTTGGTCAGCGGTTGCAGACAATAGTGGCAGCAGTGATCTGTGTATTCTGAGATTTGCTCTGTAAATTACCCAGTGTGCATGACAGGGCAGCACTATGCTATTACTCACCCTCTAAGAGTGTATGGATGGGGAAAAGAGTGGAGGTCCCTAAAGGGTAATCTATCTATATATCTAGACTCATACTGCTGTTATTAACCTTTACCCGATTCACATATCTTCAGCAATGCGAGCTGCGTTTTGCGCAGGCACGAGAGCCCATTCATTTGAATGGACTCCCGTGCCCCGAGTACACGCAGTGAAGAAGTCCCTGCACTTCTTTGTAAAACACAGCCCGCATGGGAACTGAGGTTCCCGGTATGGTTGTGATTTCCAGTGCAGGCGGCGTTCCATTAGATTTAATGGCACCCGCCTGTATGTCCGCATTCCTCTGTGCGAGTGGTGCGGCTGCACGTGTTTTTGTGCGGATCCAGAGTGGCACCACCAGCACAGATGTAAACCTAGCCTTATAGAGGAACTAACAAACTAAAGTCTCTCAATTCTTGGGGGATAATTAGATTTTGTTGTCACATACAACATTATTAGTACAGAAAGCACAAAGTATAGCAGTATTAAAGAAATCACAGAGTGCAGGTGTATATTGTTCCCTCTCAGTGCATGACAAAAATATATATCAGGAAATGCTGTTAATGCCGGAAATGCCTCCAAGCTTAACACCCAAACTTAGCCACTTATAAGGTTGAAGTGGGATCCATGACTTATTAATTTGTCCTATAGAACCTGCACCTTGACAAGTTGAAGAGTAAAAGAAAATGAATGAAATAGAAAATCAGCCTGAGGTCAGAAGGAGAAATAAAGGTGAGATGAAAGAATCAGAATGGGTGTCTAAATAGTTTAAATGGTACATGATAAAAGAATGGAAGGAGAGATAAAGGGAGAGAATATATAACAATTAGATGATTATGTATAATGCAACAATAAAGGAAAAGGGGATGATTCTGCAATCCTTTTATGCTTTGTTTGGGGGTAAAACATTGGAGGGTATACTTTTTGGTAATGATACGTCACCATTTCAAGACTTGTTTGTTAAGGTGAATAAAATGTTCAACTGCCTGGTAAGATTTAGGCACCACATAAGCAAAACAATGGAAAGAGAAAACTTACTTTTTGCTTACTGAAACTTTTGGAAGGGGACATCCAGAGAAGTACGCTGCCTGAACAGAGAATGGAGCAGATATACCAGTGTGATTTGTGAGGATTAATGTCCGTTGTACTGTGCTCTGCAGAACTACTTCTGATCCAAAATCTAGGAGGAGTTCTTGTGGTGATGAGGAAGCTGCACCTTTAAAACTAATTAAATTTATGTTAATTCTGGAAAAATATTTTAGGGTCCAGTTTCCATATAGAAAATATTCAAAAGAATTGTCTACACTATAGAAAGTTAAAATTCTCTTTTATTTTGTACATCCTTCATAACATGCAGTCACTAAGAGTGATATTTTGTGACACATTTGCCACTTAACATTGCATTAGTTAAAATGTTTATAGAGATGCATATTCAACATAATCTGTTGTATTTATACAATGTCAATATATTAGCATTTTTCAGCATTTCATATCAGCCCTTGTCCCAGAGGATTTTAGAATTAAATATCTCTATCACAGCTACACATACAGATTACACAACCAATTACAGACAAAGCCAATTAACATGGCAATGCATTTTCAGCTGCGTGTACATTTTAAACTCAGATGAAAGCTATGCACATTTAGAACATAAAAACTCCATGCACATGGTGGTCTGGGATTGCGGTGTTAACCAATATATTTATTATTGTGATCCAGATAAAATGGAACTTGCCAGATTACCTATGAAAATTCCACAGGTGGTAATAAAGTCTCCTGCTAGCCCATCCCAGGATAGTCAACCCTCTTTGCTATCTGCATACATGGAGAGGGTGTGAGCCTTAAATTGTTACTAAACCCACAACAGTACAATCAGTCTATATATGCAGTAAAACATGCTTGTCATACTCACTGTGGAACTTAAGGGGTTAATCATCTGCATTGTGTAAAAAAGACTGTTTGATCCTGTCTTCTTTGATCCTCCCCTTCTTCCACAGTCCCCAATCCATCTGCTGATAGTTCAGTGCCCTCTGCACATGCACAGTTTGGTTTGTATTGCTAGACAGTTTATCTTTATGGGGAGGGGGTGCATGTAATTGACACAGGGCCAATCAGCATTGTCCAGACAGAGGATCAGGGGTCATGCAGCCTCATAGGAGAGTCAGAGGAGAATAAAAACTCATCCTACTAGATTAAGCAGTGCTCAGCTGGACACTAATAATAGTCACAAGACTGCTATATACTGCTGATGAGAAAAATTTATTTAGCAGTCTCAGTTTATATTTACAAAATAATTGCATTTCCATGTTCTGTGTACTGTGGAAGACCGGATATAGTGGATGCAGGGTCCTGGGTTTAGTAACACTTTAACAAGGACCAAGAAGCCTAAGCACATGGCATTATATTTTCACCAAAGATTTTAATTTATTATCTGCAGAATAGCCTAGCTACTGTACTATGTGCAATAGAAAATCTAACTTGGTCAAGAGTTTTGTGTGCTTTCAAGAATACATAATTATCAGGAGACAGGCACAGAGCAGTCCTCACCTCTCTTGTTCAACAGGAAGGGAGTAGGTGACATGCAATCCTTGGGCTTTTGCTTTTACATTCAGAACCAGAGGATCCTTCATATCTTCTACACGGCAGCACAAAGGAATGTCATTCAGTTCATCCTAAACAGCAGCACCACTAAAACTAGTTAGGGGGTTTGCTAATCCAGGGTCATATTATGTAACATTACTGTTTTCTATTCATGAAAATGAAGTCATTTTAGTCTTGAATAAAGTTGGGGAGCCACACAAAACCCTGATTAACACTGACAGTTTGATGCAACAAACAAGAATCAGGCAGTATAGGGCTGATAGTATCATTTTTGAACCACTGAAGTAGTCTGTACTGCCTTAAGGGATTTCAGACATTTTTACAGAACCTCTGTGCATTTCCTTCGCTTTAGGGAATGCATCTATTTTTCTCATTGGTACAATAATATTTAAGCAAATAGTGAGTTGCTATTTGTATATAAACCCTGAGGATGTCCCAGATGTAACTATAAGAATAAATGCCCTATAAGGGCATTGTACTGGCAATTTATTCAAGTAGCTATATGGTCTTGCCATCAGTTTGTACTCCCACGTGCCAAAGCACCCACCCATTTTCACACAGGTTCTCTTTTTAAAAAGGTAGGCAAAAACAAGAAAAATTTGAAGGTGTCTGGTTCAGGATACCACTGGCAACCCTCCTAGCCTCAGAAACTGGGATATTGGTTTATTAAGTAACATCACTGCTATTAGAAACTAGAGAGGTTCTGTCTATAAGAGTATTGTTCTATTATTAAGTATAAAATTAAAGTGAATCATAAAGCCAGTCAATAGCAATATCTTAGATTTCAGTGAAATTACAACCCTAGTCTTATTCCAATTGTCTTTTAAGTTGGCCATTGATGGATCAAAATACAGCTGGTTCAGCGGGGACTAGCTGAATTTTGTTTATCGTGTGGCCATCCCTGCTCGACACAATTGTTTATTTGATCGACGTCTGTCGAATAAACAAGTTGGAATATTTTTTTCAATCAGCGGCTGCAGGCAGTAGGATGCAGCCACTGACCAGTGTATTGTGACAGCAGCAGGAGCTGCTGTCAGAATACAGTGTCCCAGCAGGGGGATTTCTTCCATCCACCTCGCTTGACTGAACAAAAAGAAAACAAGCCTTGTATAGCCAGCTTTAAAGTAAACTTCAGACAAAAAAATTGTTGTATGGGTTACCTTAGTGGAACAGGCAAATCACATTTCAGAGTCAGGTGACACTGATATTTAATTTTTTTGTGAATGCCAGATAGTTAAATCACCTTATCTTACATATTTCATCTTATATGGCTCCCTGAGGGATTTCTAATTTGTTTTATATCACAGAATATGCATTGAGAGGAGTAGGAACAGCACCAGGATTTGTTGCATGTAGACTTTTTTTGTTGGCATCCCAAAAAGATATGAGACTACCAGATGGCTCCATCTACCCAGCCCCAACTATAAGTGAAATATACTTTTTTTGTGGACTGACTGTTTGAAATGACCGTCATGAACAAGTTAAGGAAAATAGGGACTATTGCAAAATATACAGTGGGGATCGAAAGTTTGGGCACCCCAGCTAAAAATTTTGTATTAATGTGCATAAAGAAGCCAAGGAAAGATGGAAAAATCTCCAAAAGGCATCAAATTACAGATTAGACATTCTTATAATATGTCAACAAAAGTTAGATTTTATTTCCATCATTTACACTTTCAAAATAACAGAAAACAAAAAAATGGCGTCTGCAAAAGTTTGGGCACCCTGCAGAGTTAATATCTTGTACTGCCCCCTTTGGCAAGTATCACAGCTTGTAAATGCTTTTTGTAGCCAGCCAAGAGTCTTTCAATTCTTGTTTGAGGTATCTTTGCCCATTCTTCCTTACAAAAGTCTTCCAGTTCTTTGAGATTTCTGGGCTGTCTGTCACGCACTGCTCTTTTAAGGTCTATCCATAGATTTTCAATTATGTTGAGGTCAGGAGATTGTGAAGGCCATGGCAAAATCTTCAGTTTACGCTCTTGATGTAATCCCCCGTGGATTTCGAGGTGTGTTTAGGATCATTATCCATTTGTAGAAGCCATCCTCTCTTTAACTTCAGCTTTTTCACAGATGGCATCAAGTTACCATCCAAAATTTGCTGAAATTTTATTGAATCCATTTTTCCTTCTACTCGTGAGATGTTCCCTGTGCCACTGGCTGCAACACAACCCCAAAGCATGATTGATCCAAGCCCATGCTTAACAGTTGGACAGAGGTTCTTTTCATTAAATTCTGTGCCCCTTCTTCTCCAAAACGTACCTTTGCTCATTCTGGCCAAAAAGTTCAATTTTAACCTCATCTGTCCACAGAACTTGTTTCCAAAATGCATCAGGCTTGTCTATATGTTCATTTGCAAAGTTCAAACGATGATTTTTGTGGTGAGGACGTAGAAGAGGTTTTCTTCTGATGACTCTTCCATGAAGACCATATTTGTACAAGTATCTCTTTATAGTGGAATAGTGTACCACAACTCCAGTGTCTGCCAGATCTTTCTGGAGGGATCGTGCAGTCAAACGTGGGTTTTGAATTGTTTTTCTCACAATCCTGCAAGCTGTTCTGTCTGATATTTTTTCTTGGTCTTCTAGATCTTGCTTTAACTTCCACTGTTCCTGATGACTGCCATTTCTTAATTACATTCCGAACAGAGGATATTGACATCTGAAAACGCTTTGCTATCTTCTTATAGCCTTCTCCAGCTTTGTGAGCGTCAACTATTTTCAGTTTCAGTTTTCTAGACAACTGCTTAGAAGAACCCATGGTGCTGATTGTTGGGGCAAGGTCAGATGAGTCTGGGCATTTAAAACTTTTGAGATTGACATAACCTGGTCTTCCCAGACGATGATTGAGAACAATCCATGACACTGGCAGGTCTCAGCTTTTGCAGTGCATGCTATAAATTCTGCAGGGTGCCCAAACTTTTGCAGACGCCATTTTTTTGTTTTCTGTTATTTTGAAAGTGTAAATGATGGAAATAAAATCTAACTTTTGTTGACATATTATAAGAATGTCTAATCTGTAATTTGATGCCTTTTGGAGATTTTTCCATCTTTCCTTGGCTTCTTTATGCACATTAATACAAATTTTTAGCTGGGGTGCCCAAATTTTCGATCCCCACTGTATATGGTACATAGGAGGAAAAAGATTAATTGTGGGGATTGTAATACAATTTGGGAATAGTAGCTTACCAATGTATGAAGTGTCAGAGTCACACACATATCAGCCTCTTCATTAGGTCCTAACAGACCACTTGATGGAGATACTGTGGCCGAATATATTGCGGGATGAGTACTAGTCAGCTGCAGACAAAAAGTGCCATTTTACTACGTGAGTGAGATAATAGAAGACATCTATCTAAGCTACGTTTTTCATATTCTTTCATGTAAAGTTCTTTAAAACATGCAACTAAACTTGTAATTTATTATATTTTAACTCAAAATTATTATCACTCTTATTGCTTCATGCAGTAAATCTATACATTAAAGGTTCATCAAGCCAAGACTTACATTTTAATTTACTTTTCAATTATTAGCAGAATGCTGGAGAGTTAATACAATGGATTTCTATGTTTTTGAGAATGAGATCCTAACACCTGAGTGTCCAGCATACCTGCTGTGACATCACAAAACTGGATTTTTGGCTTACCTAAAAAATCACTTTCTAGGAGTACATTACAGGAGGCTGAAGAGTTAACTCTTAAACCATTGGACTATGCTCCATCTCCAGGTGATTGAACACCTGGTGATTGGCAAATAGCAAAGCCTGACTCAGCCATGCATTCCCAATGCCAACATCTCGCATAGGTTCAAATAATAGCCTCTGAAGGACTGACAACACCAAGCTGAGATCCCATGGAGTCATCAGAGAGCATACTTATGGTACAATGTGAGCAACTCCTTGTACAAAGGCTCTTACCAAGGAATGGAAAGCTAGCAGTCTCCAAAACGACCACCAAGGACTTTCCCAGTGCTGACTGAAGGAAGCATAGAACCTGTGGCCATGGAGTGTTACCTGGGATGAAGCTTTCCCTCTTTGCACCAAGTAAAGTATGCTTTCCACATGCAATGGTAAACTCTACAAAATAAGGGTTTTCTGGCCTTTAGCAAGGTGGGAATCATGGAGTCTGATAGACCCCTATCCCTCAGGATTTTGATTTCAACAGCTACTGTATGTCCTGAAAGCCAGTGACTGTGAAGCAGGATGGAACACAGGACCTTTAAAAGATCCAGTTGATCTGGTATGGCCCATGGACAGTCTGTGCAAAGCTCTGACTAAGCCAGAATGAGCTCCGCTTCCCAGAGAGCAACCTGACTTCTGGTTCTGCCTTGATGATGTGTGTATGACACAGCAGTGGTGTTGTTGGATTGGACACTGACCAGCAGTCCCCAGAGAAGGGGGGTACACACCTGAAGGGAAAGCCATATCGCTCTGAATGCAGGGCATTGATCAACACTAGAATTTCCTAGGATGACAAGGGCCCCTAAATTGATAGGGAATCCATAACTTTTCATTAGCCTGACAGGCTGGTGTCCACTATCAGTGCCTCCCATGTGACAGGGAGAAAGGATTTTTCTGACTCCAGCACCAAGCTGGAAATCCACCAGTCCATGGCTAACTTGGTTTCAGGATGAGTGATGGTTCCAGGATTGTCTTTTTAAGATTAAGGATCCAGCCAAAATCTTGCAAGACTTCCGCTATCTGTCGCACATTGGGCTTAAAGCGAAACTAAAGTCCCCATTTAAAAAACTGTGGGAAAGCAGGCTCCTTTTTAAAGAAGAGACACACAATATCTCTTGTGAAATAAAATAAACCTACCTGCCTACTTGCAGTCTTCTTTAGAATGTTAACTGAGCTGCACATGCACAGCTCAGTTCACATTCCAGCACAGATCCTGTGTGCCAGGATGACTGAACTCCTGCGCATATGACATCATTCAATGCCGGCCAATAAAGATGGCATCAGAGGGGCACTCAAAAGAAGCTAGAGAGATGAAAATGGAGAGAGACCTTGGAACGCTGAAGTAGATGTAAGTATTGCAATCTTTCGTTCCACTTTAAAGCTGTTCACTAATTATTCCCCTCAGAAACAAATCATCCAGATACCCTAAAATGGGACCACAAAATAGCCAACATTTTGGGGCATTTGAGGGAGACGTGTAGGTTGAAATCATTCATGCCCATCAACCCCAGGAATTCCCCCTGGTGGAAAGATGAAGTCACTGACAGTACAAATTCCACACACAACTTTTGAACAAAAATTTGTTCAAGCAATTGGATATAGAATGTGCTGCATGTCGCCATTTGGCTTGGGCATTATGAAAAGCTTTGAATAGTAACCATGAAACCTTTCTGGTTCTGGAACAAGAGCAATGACTCCCTGAGAGCCCAACAGTCCAGCATAGCAAACAAGGCTCTTTTGCCAGATGCAGCAGGTACATTTGGTGGCATGAAACATGGAGAAGACAAAACACAAAATTCCAGCTTATAGACTCTGGCCTAGCATTTCAGCCAAAACACTCACCTCTTGTTCATTGACATTAGTCCCAGGATAGAGAATTGTCAGAGAGAATCTCCCAACCTATTCACACAAAACCGTAACTTGCTATGGGGGCAGACAAAGAAGAGGAGAAGCCAAAATTGTTGTTGGGGGACCCCAGAAGAGGAGGTCTGAGGTCACTCTGTGCAATACCATTGCACACAGCAGTTGAGTATGATATGTTTATTACTGTAATTAAATCTTAAAACTTTAACCCAAAGCTACACATCTAACAATGTTACCACGTTAATAAGCAGCATGTTCACCGTGTGGGGACAGTACAGTAATTGTGTTTGTTTAATATATGAACAATGTCCTGTCAGTGAGAATGGATAATGTAAGATATATACCATATATACTTTCATACAGTTCTGAATACTCACAGCATTATATTCTTTACTTTGTGCCTCTTCCAGTCTGTTACATATTTTAAAAAAATCAACTTAAATCATGTTATAACATAAAACATTAAAACAAATTTACCTCTTCCCATGAAAAAGATGCTGGAAGTCGCCCTTGATTGAATATTTTTACTGTAGACTGAGCTGGAACGCCAACATAGATCTCAGGAAACACTAAGCAGCTGTTAAGGAGACAAACCTGAGGCCCCTGTACATCAGCCACAACCGGCAAGTAGCTGGAATGAATACAGATGCGATAAGTTAAACAAACAATTTTATGTAGTAACAGCATCCATGATGTGGTTTAAGCTTTGCCGACTGTCATAGGTAAAATCAAGCAATGAAGCCATAATCTGGCTGCAGGTGTTCACATCAATTCATGTGATGCTCATTCTACTAGGAAGTAGCTGCAGTGTTGTATGCATCACTATAAATGAATGAAGCTAGTAGGAAGCAACACATGTATACACTTGGGACCCTGGAGTGTTCCAGTACAATACTGATTCCAAAGGCAAAGGGTTGAAACCATGGGGTTGATTTACGAAAGACAAATAGGTTATTCACTTTGCTAGAGCATTTTCACTTTGTATGGAAATCAACCTTTGCTTAGTGAATGTGGGCAAAATTCACTTTGCAAATTTCCACTCATATGCAAGGAAAATAAAAAAAAAGTATTATTGCTTGCAGGATTGAATGATGGAAATTAGCAGAGATTCACTTAATTCGCTACACTCTGGGGATAATTCTCCTGCAAAGTGAACAGCCTATTTGCCTTTAGGAAATCAAACTCAATATGTACTGTATGTGGGGTGTAAATGTATGTATGTGGAATGTAGACCATATAGATGTCAGCTAAATATTTGTATTGTTTTGCTCCTTATTCATCACTTACCTCCATTCACCATTCTCCACCTCCAATTCCAAAACTGTCCTTAGACTCTGACAGGTCAATGGCTTAAACAGGACTGAAATGTGTGCTGTACCCAGAGGGGCTAACACTCCACAGTCAGGAGTAATGGAAAATTGGGACTCCTGCAGGTGAAAAGAAGTGTAGATCAATTATGACACAAGAAATGGCAAGTTGTGCCCTTTGCAAAGGATAATATTTTACAAGGCAGTAAAAGGATTCAAGTGCACAAAACAAGTATATGAAGTATCCTACAAGCAGTCACATTATGACTAGGTCCACACTGCTGTGTTCACATTGGCACAGCAGCCCATTCACACTTTATTTGGCTACTGTACTTGAGGGAGATGCAGGGAAAAAGTCCCAGACCTTTTTTTTTTAAAAAAAAAATGCACCATACGATTTCACGAACCCAAAATAAAACCACCTTTTTCAATGCATGGGGGTCCCATTAACAACTGATAGCAGCTCTGCAAAAGAGCAACACATTTTGCCTGTGGGTCAGATAAAACATGTCACTAGCATACATTCCTAGGCCACATATGTCTGAGCTTAGACTTAACAGAGCCCAGTAGCTGTAAACTTTCACCCCTTTTTTAAAATAAAAAATAGATGAAAGCTCCACATTGTGAAGAATGCTATCGTTCACTCTCTACAGTGCTAACATTTTTTCGGCATGTAGGAGGGTAAACAAATTAAAGTGAACTTGAATCTGAAGTTTAGTCAAAAATTAATTGGATGCTGTAGAAATCTTCTGTGAAGGGATGCCTGGTTCTCTTCCTGGTGTGAAATTTGGGAATCGAGGGAGTTAAAACTTACAAACTTACAAATATGTCTTTCTTTGCTTAGAGACATTGGTAAGTATTCATATGCCATACCTGTGGGATCCTTCTGAAAGCAAACAAACATTCACCTTAGTGGCCAACTACAATGTGTGCTGCTATTTTCTGGCTCCCATGCTTAACAGCTACCCTGCTGCATAGTGAACACAGGGGGTAACTTGCTCGGCATGGGTGCCATTCTCACAAAGCTTTGCATGAATACAAAGTGAGCTCTAGTTGGACATTGTTGGGGAAGAAGGGTGGTGATATCACAATCTTACCTCTCTCAGAGAATTCTTTGCATTCATTGAAAAAATGCAATGCTCCTGTGTTTAATTCACAATTGCGTAATTTACTAGATAATAGTAATATTGGATCAATGTAACTATGCAAAAAAAATCCTTATTTGGAATTCATCCTTAATAGCTTCACATCTTCTGTGCGTTGCAGATAAAAAAAAGGCATGACAGGGACATGCCCCTTCTCCCCTCTGACTCATTGAGAATAAAGTACACTGCATGTAAAATAATCTCTGAATGGGGGAAAATCGATTAATGACAGGATTCTCTTCCTCATTCTCCTTCATATTTTTGACTAAATTCCAGCTTCAAAGTATACTTCCACTTTTGCAGCCAAATTGGGATAACACTTACTTTATATTTTTTACATGTTCTAATTCATATATAATAACTGAAAAAGCATTGAAAAATTGCTGCTTGTATTTTCACTTGATCTTTTCTAAAAACTCCAAAACTGATGTTTTCCCCTGCTATGTAATGTTAAGGAGGGAGCTGGGAGGTTCTGTTTTCAGAAATAACCCTGTCTGTACTGGGCTGGCAGATCTTGTTATCAGTTGTAAAGTATTTAGTATATTTGAGCACTGTGCAAACAAAGGGTTAAGAACTCAAGGCTTTAGATTATATACCAAAAATATTGGCAACTGCAATAACCTTTCCCCTTTAGATGTAGTGGTGAAAACGTGGCACATATTTGAGGACAGAACCTTCAAGGTTCTTACGTTTTAGAATATGATACAATAAAAAATGACAGGAACTTTATGGCCTTCTGGAGTCTAAGTGGTGGTCAAGTCATGGCATCGCTCTGCTTTCATATATCTTTCAGAATTAAGCTTTTATCTCTTCTGACTAATTTAAACAATCTTCATTGATTACAAATAAGCAATTCTATTAGTACCTCATGCTACATCATGCAGTTCAATCTCAATACAGCTCCCTGGCAATTTCACAGCTTGAGATATTTATGAATATGGAAAGTGAATAATCCTACATCAGATATACAGTATATTCCTATCGTCCTATTCCTATCTTCATTCTCAGGACTCTCATTAACTCCATGCAGCTCTATGTAAATTACAATTATTATTGTTATAATACAGGATTTATATAGCACCAACAGTTTGCTCAGCGCTTTACAATATAAAGGGAGACAATACAGCAACGATACAGTTCAATACAAGAGGGTTAGGAGGGCCCTGCTCCTTGGAGTTTACAATCTAAGAGGGAGGGGCTGGTGGTGCAAAGGGATCATTGTGTTATCTCTCACATACAAGCAATAAAACAGTGTTGATGGCCTGTGCATGTGTGTGAAATATATATCTTTAAAATGGCTCTCTGCAATGGACAAATTGAATGGATTAAAGACCATAGGTTTAAATAGGTCCATGGTGAGTGTTTCACCATATAAAAAGAAATTCCCTTTTAATACACACTACCTCTTCTCCTCGCTCAGTAAGACAGGCTCTGCTCTCACACATCTTCCACTTTGCAGCCAGTGGGCTCATATTTTCAATAGTAAATGTGCTGAGAACTTTAGTACCAAGCTTTATGAGTTTCAGGTCGAGGGATGGGATAGCAATTGAAACCACTGGGCCCTGCAAAAAGATAATGACATAAGGCAATACAAGTTTTTAAAGACAAAAAAAAACTGTTACTAAAATGCACAAACTTGAAAAATTATGGTAACTGGAACTTTTAGAGCTCGTTCACATTAGCAGTTGAAGGGTGGTAAAAACCCCACAGTTGAGACATGCTTATACTACCCCCAACCACTACTCCCTTTAGCTGCAGAAGCAGTGGTTGGCCAAGGCAGGAATTATAACCGCTGTTGTTTTCGGTGGGTGTCCCACAATAGCAAGCAATAAATACGGTTGTGGTGTACTAGTGTGCGGTTCAAACAGTTAAAGCAGGTGGTAAGAAGACAATACATTGCCTCTTCAATGCTTGTCAAATATTCTCTGAAGAGCAATCCGAATGCGGATGTTTGTATGTGTCTCGTTGCAAATTTTCCCTTACTTTCTATTTGATAAAACCTTGGTCACTATGACAGTAAGTGAGGGGAAATCTCTCTAATTAATCTCCAGATAGAAGTAAAAACCTAAAAGGTGTTCAGATTATTAAATGCAGACAATATCAGTCACCATAATAAATAACTAATTTGATGTGCATGCACCAATATTATCTGCGTTTAAGGATAATGCACTATGTTTAGTTTATTTTACTCAAGGTACTAAGAGTGGAAGAGGACGTATCGAATTAATAGAACACTAAGAACTGGTGGACTATAAGAAGACACTATTAGGGTGTATGGACTCATTTTGAAGGATTTTCAATATTTATATATATTGGACATTAGGGTATCTTGGATTTATTATTCATGGTGACCAATATTGTCTGCATTTGATCTGTATCTTCAAGGGTTGAAGGATTTACCATAACGCTCCAGGGGTCATTTTTCACTGTAGGTGAGTATGGTTTTGTCATATTTGTTCAGATTATTCCCAACTCCCAGACCCCCAAAAAAAAGTATGATAATCCTGAAATATGTTGCAGGTTGGAATAAATTTAATTTGCAATTTCCCAAGAATGCTTTTCTTTAACAAAAGGGGTCTCCAAACTTTGTAAACAAAGGTTCGGTTTACTGTTTTAAGACTTTAGGGGGGCAGTGGGAGTAGTGCCACATTGGCAAGTAAATGTCTTGATATTCTGCATCAGTAGGAAGAGAAATAAAATCGTGGGTGTCAGTGGGCAAATACCAGTCTTTGATATTTGGTGTCAGGGGGAAATTCTGGAGGACTAGTGCCCCAATAGGGATTATTTGTTCATCAGCAATACATGAAATGGCCAACTGCGTCAAAGTAATCCTCATGGCCAGTCCTACTCTGCCCTGCCTACGCAAGTGCTACTGTGGACACAATGCTAACATAGGGGAAAAGACACATTGGGAGAGCTACAAGGTTCAGGTCTGGCTACTGACCCAACAATACAACAAACAAAGAGATCCCTGTGCTCAAATCCATACAGCTAGCATCATTTATGGTGCTAAAGGGGTGTAACCACATTAACTCTAGAAATTCTGAAGGACCCTCTGCACACTGGTATATACCCTTTCAAGCAAACTATGCAACAAATAGGGATATTTGGTTCACACATATTGCAATACATGCACCTGATGGATAAATGCGCACTAGCTGTATGGATTTGCTAG